GGAAGGTGTTGTCATTGTTGTCAGAATTTGTTTGGAACTTTCAAATTAATGTGTCCTCTCCACAAATTTAATGCAAAAAATAGTAGCCTACAAATGTTACATTTAAAATTACACATCAAAAGGCTGAAATCCTGCAATGAAAACACTATAATTATTAAAATGCATGATATAGAAACTAAAGATTCTATTAATTATTATGTGCTGAATGATCATTGTTCAGTATTGTCTCTTTAAAGACAAGCTGTTTTTCTAGTTCTGAATTAATTTCGCTCCAATGCACAACAAGTGTTTCAGCTTGTCATAGTTTCTCTCCAAGCAGTAATTTCAGTGACAGCACGGCTAATCACTTTTCTCAGCACAGACCCAGGAGTGTTTAACTCCACCCTCCCCTCCCCACTACCATTTCTTTTGTACTTTTGTAGAAGCAATATTTTCTATCCACTATAAAAATCCATGGTCCATTGAGTTAATATTAGACACTCTTGTAATTGGAATACTGAATCAACTTTTCATTGCCACCAAAACCAATAAAACAGTAAAGTGTCTTAAGTGCAAATCAAAAGCTCAATCTGATAGAGGAGAAGGATTTGAAATACCTTAATATAGATCCATAAATTCTATAGGTAAATATGGGTTTTAATAGTGACTTTTTCTTTCAAATGATTAATCTTTGTATCTGGCTAATTAATCAATCAATTACTCTACCAATTTACCATGCACTATAATGGAAGTTGTAATGTGTTAAAGGTGTTTCTTATTTGGGCATTAAGAAAGATAAAAGCAGCTCCATGTAAGACCTGGGGTAGGATTGCCTACATATGGGATTAATGACATGAAATTCTTTCGGTAACAGTACGTTTCTAATCATTGAGACTGTATCTTTTCCCTTTTATTCTTGTCTCCCAGTCTTATTTGAAGATCAGGGGCATCACCGGGGGGAATACATGAGTGCCACTTTCCAAACTCTCCAAGTGTCAGCTTTTGTAAAATGTTAAAAGGCTTCTGCACAAACCACCCTGATGTAATCATACTGTATAGGATGAAACATTTTTTCTCTTGACAATCCTTGTGTTAAAAAAAGTGTAGGTTAACGATACTGCAGAACCTGCCCAAAATAAGTGAAAAACCTGTTTCAAACTCACACATCTCTGTGACCCATTAATAAAACGGCTGTGGGTTTTGGCAGCTGCACAGCTTCTCTGGATGTACAGCACCCGAGTCTGCTGTGACTGAGCAGACACCCAGGTACAATCCTCACTCTACCCGCTACTGCCACCAAAGCAGGAGATCTTAAATGCCTTGGGTCACCTTTGTATTTCCAAACACTTAGTACAAACTGTGATAGGAAGTGAGTGATATAGAGTTGCCCATTTGTAAATGAGAAAAATTTCAAAAATGAAATTGCATACATGAATATTCCAGTTACTGGATGTATAGTACTTAATATCCTCTTACCGTATATACTTAAAATAATATCCTCTTCCTATGAATGTCTTATATTGTGTACTGTATATATTTCCCTATTCTACTGTACACTAACAATATGAAATTCAGATAGTTACATGTAACATTGCTAAGACTGTGGCATCACCCCCTTGGAATTACACTACATTCTGGTGCTGCGACACTGCAGTCTATGGAGCCACACTGTGTGCTTTGGAAGTTAGAGTTGATCATAAGTGACCAGGATTCAATTCCAAGAGGGGCAGAGCTGCATCTGTCACATCCTCTGTATCTTTTTTTCTGTACATGCACCTATTGCATGTCTGGTATCCATTGTAAGTTGCCCTCGATACGGGGACCTGCCTGCTGTACATTTGGTTGGATTTTGGAATTTAACAGTGCGTGAAGCTGTTAATCACCATTTCTGCAAAGAAAAAGTCTCCATCACTCAATAGAAATTCCATTGTAAATAATACAGCAAAGACAACATCCCACTAACCGTAGCTGCATACTATTATCCAGAAAAGTTATGTGCACAAAAGAGATGTTCACTGTAATGCACAGTTCTTTTATTGTGTCCTTTTCTTTTTTGATTCTATGCACATTGACTTCAAAGACTTGACTCATGACTTTCTCATGCCTATTGTAAGGGAAATATGCAGGTTAAAAATTAAACATCTACATTTAAAACAAAAAAGGGACTGGCTTGGCTGCTTGCCTTAAAAATGACAACTTGGAAGGAAGATGCAAATAATGTTTAAAAGGAAGGTTTTATTCAACTGACAAGACAGTCAAGATCCATCATCTCTGACTCGCGGTGGTCGACTGGCACACAAACAACCCCCACTGATGTCTCCCCCAGCTATCTAGTCAGGGTGCTCCTTCTGACCCACTCATGCCCAAGGTATATTTAAATATCCAACACCGCTGCTAAACAAACTTAAAACCTTGTTCGATTTTCCTTCTTCAATACATGTGTCTTAACAACCCTTTCGACTTAACTTTTTTAACTATTTACAGGTTTAACCTGTCATGTGGCTTTCTAGTTCAGGTTATATTGTAACAGTTGATTTCCACATTGAACAAAATGCACAATCTAAATACAGTATGTTTTTGTCATGTTTTTGTGATGATTTTAGCAAACATGCCAATAAAAGTAGTAAGCTAACTAGTACTAGAATTAAAGCATTGAGGGTAAAGAAAAGCTTTTGTGAAACCGTAATTTTTTTAAGAAGTGAAGGTTAGTTTCATGCTGAAAGCCTTTTTCAGGTGTGAACAGCTGATATGCCCATTTCTTCTTCCTGCGTTTCAGCGTGAAATTAACCTTTATGTGTGCTTTGCAGCTGATGTACTGTATACTGATGCAGGTCCTCACTTGAACATCAGACTTTTTATTCTCAGTCTTTGTAGGAACACTTATAATGTTTTTGCCAATATTTGTATGACTGAAGCGTAGCAGATTTTTAAATGAATGCAGTTAAAACTATTTACAGAATGTGATGGCCAAGTGTCATCAGAGCTACAGTATCTGCTTCTAATGGCATCTGAAATGATATCCCTAGTGGAGATGTTGATTCTTCATAAAGGTGAAAGTTAGATAATAGATAATGGTAGGATAGTTGCATTGTTGTACATTGATTCTTTTATCTTAGTGTCATTGTAAAAACTGTTGTCACAATGGTAATTGCTGGATCAAGTGTTGACTGTATGACATCACTCATAGTTTCCAGAGAATTATTTTTTCCAAAACCATATCTTATGAAAAAACTGTAACATCAGGCATCTACAGTATATAGTTCATACAGGCCTGTATCACAGCTCATATCGTTATATACAGTATATTTCATCTATAATCTATAGGTTAAATTTTTAAGAGATACGGAAAGTAGTGGAAAATGACAAATGCTGAATGAAAATTTTTATCTACAACAATTAAAAAGCTTATAAATCTTAAAAGAACCATAATAATATTAAACCAAACAAAGAAATGTGTAGATTCCGAACAGATCTATGTTCAAATAAGTGGGTGATGTCTTGTAGCAGGATAATAAAGGAAACTCAAACTCTTTAACCGATGCATTTAAGCAACTAGAGTATATTGAGTATCAAAATAAACATATTTCTCTGTTCATGGCTGTATAATGTTGAAAAATAATTTACCTGGATTCTGGATATTGAGTGAATGTTGTAGTGTCATTTAGATTAATTCATCATTCATGACTGACTGTGAGTAACTTTGACTGTTGCATAAGCACTAAATCAATTAGGTCAGGCATGGGTGATTGATGAGATGGGTGATCTTTTTGTAAAAACAGAATAGCCGGTTCTTTTCTGTTCACACACCATAACAATATTGCCAGCTGTGTGTTTCTTATGTCTCTGCTCATAGCTACTGTACAAATCTCGCTTCCATACTTATAGAATATGCATAAGGGGAGAATAAGTAGGTGTGACCCACCATTAAGTCACTTAAATTTGAACACATACTGTACTATGAAGATCAAGGCAAAAGAACAAAGAAAACCAAAACATCCTACTTAAAACTGAACAAAACGTTTGTGCCGTTTGTGCCAACGTTTGTCGCCTCCTGTGTTTTTGTCAGGACATGGGAGACCTGTCAAACTGAAGAACTGTCATACTGTACAGTGTAAACTTTTTGTCATCCTGTTTTTGAGAAAGCAGTCTGTTTGAGATGTATTCATTGATCATGTTTTTCAAAGAAGTGACAATACAGGTTTGAACACATGATTATTCCAGTTAGTTCTGTCCCATATTCTGGTTATTAAACAATTATACCTTTTTACACCTGCGCAGGAGGTTACCATATAGAAAGTATATCCAGATTTGAAGATAAATACAGCAATCTCAACAGAAAACAATAGAAACTGGTAGATTTAAGTAGTAGAAAAAATGAAAAAGACATTCCTGAGCCTAGCAGTCACAAATACAGAGCTATTAGCTTAAACAAGGTTGAGTTAATGGCCCATGCTCTAACAAAATGTCTGCATGCAATTGCAAACACACACTGAAGACACGAGTAACAGATCTGAAGTAACATTTGTAATATTGCACAAATAATTGTCCATTTCATGAAATATAATATGCTCATACATCCATGCATACTGTATGCACTCAGGTAAAGCAAATGTAACCCCACTTTGTGGTGATCAGCACAATGTCTTATAGTCTTGAATTCATGGATATATTACAATAATACAGAGAAAGCGCAAAATAACAGCTTCATAAACTCTGAAACGTGTATAAATAAATCATGTAGATGGAAGCAGTTTGCTTATCTGGCAAGAAAAATATGGAAAAAATGTGCTTGTTAAACAATAATCACAGAGTGTGCTTTTATGATATTTTTCAGCACAGTAACTCATGATAGAAAAATAGCAGCTGCATGTTAAATCAAAAATTCTACGCTATTGTTCTCTTAGCAATGTAAAAAGCTGACTTCTGTTGTTTTAGGGTTCCTCACTGACAGAAAGCAAATATCCTATGATGTGTTATATATTGCCTGGAAGTCTTATCAAGTGAAACAAAGGCTACAAGTCTTAAGATTTCAGACAGTTTTATTAGCAGATTGTTGAAAAGAAAAAAAAATTAAATACAGTAAAACGTGGTTTCTCACATTGAAACTGGACTCATAGATCTAAGCTACCATAGAAAAAAACCTTGCATTCTTGAATTATGATGTAAAAACAGATTTTTCTTTTTTGTACAGTTTTTTTTTGTACAACAAAATTTGTAATAACCTTTTTCCTTTTTTATTTTCACTTTTAGAAAACGTTAAATACATAGATAAAAATAGACAATTTCCATAGGTCCTACGTGAAAATGAGCACGGTCTGTTCCAATGGCTTGCATAGAGTGCCGATGTTGTTATCATACAAGACAGCCTGATGCTAATATTGTTAACATATATTAAAAAAGCAACATGAACAGTAACTTGAAAAATGAATTTTATGATACAAAGTGAGATAATTTGAAATGTTTCCAGACATTGTTCCTTCATCCTTTAAAATAGAGCTTCTTCTTACTGTTTGAACCTCCTCTTTATGGAAATTGTGACACTGTTCTCGCAGTAGGAATCGGTCACATTACGTAACCCAATGAACTCTCTTACTGTCAACTCTATGCAAGGAGCAGAGCAATGCGAAGTGCTACTAGGTACTAATACTATTTTTTTCTCATTAGAAAGTGGACAAAAAGCTTGTCATTATCATACACAGGTGTTAACCCTTTAAAGACTAAAATAATCCCAATATTTAAATCAGCCAGCCAGTACCTTTCATGATTTTCATGATATTTAACTATGGAGTTTTACCAATAGTGTTGCATTGTGCTGAACAGAAGTACAGTAGCTGTAACAAAGGAAATATACAATGTTTGTGTTCTCTTTGAAGGAATGAAGAGAAGATGCAGATGGGTTTCACTATTAATTTGGAATAGCTGCAGTAAACCTATTTTGAAAGAATAAAGCATGGTTCTCTCATTTACACAAACTTTAGTATTTGGAGATAGCACTGAATATTTAAAAAAAAAAACTTCCTCATGGAGTAAAACTTGTATCAGTATTTCTGAAATATTAATAGTTTTCTGCCTTGTAATACAAAGTAAAAAGGAACAATATGCTCATAAATCTTGCTACAGTGCGTAACTGCAAGTAATATGTTATACTTTATACATATAAAAATATTTAGAACTTAATACATTGAACACTTGTTAGCCTAATTAGAATAAATTATATGGCAAATGAACTGTTTTCCACCAGGTCAGATTGATCAAATCATGTTGTCTGAAGTACATGTGTATTTGTATTTGATGCCCCTGGAACTTATTATGACAAAGTAAATAAGTAAAAAAAAATACAAGTTAAAAGTCAATAGCTGCCAACATTTTGCACAAGTCAGACAAATCAAGCACACCCTCAGCAATTTAATCACAAATTATGATAGTTTATAAATAAGTAATAAGATTTTTAAATATAAAATGCTTATTATCTTGTTATAAAAGGCATGACTGTCAAACTTAGGCTTCAAAGGGTTAACTTGTCAACAAGTCAATGCAAAATTAACATAAAATCTACACTACAGAGTTAAATTCTGTGTCATAGGTTTACTTCCAGTTATCTGCACAGAATGTGAAAACATAATGGTTTTCATCAATAACAGTGAGAATTACATAGAAACCAACCTTGCTAAATACAAGGGCAGAAGACAGACTTCAGCCAATCAATACATAAAATGTTTCTGTAAGTTGGAGCTGATTTTTAACAATGATGTGTGTTATTGTTATAAAAATAAATCTGATGTCTGAATCACAGCACAGCCACGAACACAAAAAAGTCTTCTTTTCCTTTTTATAAATAAATAGTGGCTGTTAAAATGGAGATTTTTATATTTCTTCAGACATCAAAAAATCCATCAATACCATGACTCCAGGACAAACATATACATGCCTGCATGCTTAAAAACGAGAAAGGCAGCTTTTCTGACATTAAGGTGACTGAACAAAAAGAAAGTAAAATGATATTTGGGGAGCAAAAAATCCAATTTAGATGTTTCATTTTCTAATAAATCTACTGCATACATAATACCATCTTTCCATAACTTTATATATACAAACCATCTTATTAACTATTTTCAAAAGCCACCCTTCACTGTTGAGCAGGAATAAACACAATGAAGAAAAGGAGACAGTGGATTGTTTTGCTTTTTCTTCTGATTCAGAAAACATTCAAATGAAAGTTTAGCCGATTCTTTCTACTGAATGCAGTCCAATCATACATTTCACCGGATGCCTTCCCAAACCAAGAATTTTTGTGTGTTTGCGAATAACTGTAACAGTTAAAAATCTGATCCGGTTCCTTTTTTGAAGCTTTCTTGCTGGTATGAATACAGTATAAAAATTTTTCCACTTAAGAGTATGGTTAATTTTTTATTTTTATTTAAATATTACACGTGTACTTCCCAATACTTCTGTCTTCTGTGCTCAGTTCTCAGCTTGCAGAATAGGAGGTTTTACACACATAAAACAGGTGTCATACCTGGGCTCACAACACACAGTTCATGTTGGCAATATGTGTAAGAGTCTTTTTTACATATCAGTCTCTCCTCCTTGGCCACTAAGAGCAGCATCTGAACATCTTCAAAAGTCATCTGGTTTCTTAAGAAATGACAAGGTCTCTGATTTGTCCTTTCTGTGACATTGCTGTGAAAGGTTCTTCAAAACATCCTGATTCTGTTTTCATTTTAAAGTTTTTTTCTTTTTAAATTTAAATGGAAAAGAATCTTCATTCTTGGCTCAGTACATCACTGTAGTTTTCAAAAAAAGTCTTCCATCTGTTAAAAAACAAATAGAAATAAGTATAAGGATACACATTTATACTGTTAAGAATTAGAATGAAAGAAAACAGACAAACCATATGCAATTCCTTTAAAGAAAATGATTGTAGTAAGAGTTTTTACAAATTCTGCTTGTTAATTATTATTGCTATTTTTATTAGATTAAATGAAATGTACAAGACTGAAAACGAGAGATCTCTGAACTGAGAGACAAATCGTCCTATTCAAAGTGAGTGAGGTTTCTGTCATAATGTTGCTTAGTAGAACTTTGCAGTAAATAGAACTGATTGAAGATGACATGAAAATATATCACTCGAAAGAGAATTACGCAGGATGAGAGAGCCAGGATAATTTGTTCATTGCAATTCACTTGAAGACTAATTACAAACTACAGTATATAGAAAAAACAAAGCTTAGCCATATCATTCACACGAAGGACATTTTGATATGCATGTCAACAAGTAAAACAGATCTGATTTCAGAGTGACATAGTATAATAGGAAAAAGGCAAGACTGCAAAGCAAAGAAAACATTTACATCTCTACATAGGTAGGCTTAGATATGTACAGTAGGCTTAATTTTAGGCTCCCAGAGGTGTAGAGTTGAAACTACAGATAAAATAAAAACTGGTTTTCCATAGTATTATGCTGTTTTACCCAGAACAAAAGGGCTCACTTAATAATTCAGCTCACTTCTGCAATCTCTAAAAGCAATGGGAGCAATGGGAGTTGATCTTCTCTCCACAAAAGTAAGAAAAATGCATTCTTATTTAATGCTCAAATAGACATATAATCTATACATGTTTTCTGTACTAGAATTGGGGCATTAACAAGTGGTTCACAGAAGCTCAATTAAGAGCAAAGCCAGGAATATTACAATTCAAGAAAGAACTTAAAATTACAAATCTTGCAATCAATTTATTTGAACCAAAATTAAAACTACTGTGATAAGACTGTAATAGGTGATTATTAATCCTCATTAAGAAAACAACTTATTTTAATTTTTGAACTTCTTCTTTAAAGAGGCATAATTTTCCTCTGCTGAAACAGATGTGCATTTTTTTTAAAGATGCTTTATGTACAGTATAATATTTTTTCTTCTCTTTTCTCTGAATTTCGCCCTGTTTTAAATAACAGTTATATGCTTTTCTACTGAAGTGGTTGTCACTTTGTTTAATATAGTTAATCCTGAGATGTCTATATTTTGTCGCACAAAAAGTAATCTTCTAGCTTTACGAAATTGTAGAAAGGAACAAACGATATTGTTGAGGAAGATCAGGCTGTTTTGTAAAAGTGATAGATTAACAAATATTACATTTATATCAGGCTGCTCAGGTACTTTGAGTTGTGATTGCATTTTAGGACATTCTGATCAATGTGAATGTGAGATTGCCAAATGACAAGCTTGCTTTCCTCTCACCCACACGAAGCTTTACCAGTAACAGTCAAAGATACTGTATTTTAATTATACAGATATATAACAAAATGTATTACTAAATCTATAGTATATATATAATAGATGTTATAATAGTAGAAAACAGCAGGGGAGGCTCTGACTATGTAGTTGATATTCATATCATAAATATATTGTAACTCATTGAGTCTAAAATGTCTATATATCTATCTGAAATAACAATGTTCACACAGCACTATCTCTTACTTAAATAGAATAAATGAGAAAAGGTTACTTCTATTTGAATAATCAGATTATGTAAGACTGTTTATATGTAAATATATCCAGTAATTAAATAAATTGGACTGATCATGCTGAAGAATGGGCTGTACATACTATACTGCAGAACATACAGTACTACATTATATGGACAATACAGTATATTGTAGAAGAGTACAACATGGGGTTGCTAACATAGGTTTGGTAGGAGGACCAATTGTAATCTGGTACTTTCATGCATACAGTAAGTACTCCTGCAGAGCACCTCTTTGTGCACAACGATTCTGGTCCCCCTTCCCTTCACCTCATCTTCGCCCTTACTGCAGCCTCCCTGGTTCATTCCTCACAAATGAAAGGGGGTTTTGTCAACCTTGACCTTAGGGCCAGTGCTGTTATTTTTACAGCCAGATGAGTTATTGCCAAACACTAAAATATTAAGTATGCTGTCCCTTTATATTTAAATCATTGCATCACATTAATTTGAATTTGACTGAACTACTGAACTGATGTTAGCAAATTTAATTAAAAGGTCTCTTCGATAAACACATTACAGTTAACAGGTTAATACATTAACCCTTTACATACATCCAAAACAAAAGATCATAAACTGTCAATGAATATTTTATCTTTTAACAAATGTGAACAGTAACACAAGGATATCTTTTAAAATCCTGTAAACACAATGATGTTTAATAAAACAGGCAGAGTAAAAACAACAAGCAAGAACAAAAATAGCATGTGTTTTAAATGTTTCTTGTGATGCTTGTTTGAACATAATATTGCACTCATGATGTGAAGCCCTACATAAATTACATTTCCTGTAAGGAAGTAGGTTTATTGAAAACAGCATCTCTTGTTCCCAGACACTATCTCCAGACACCTGTAATCTAACGAGCTTTGTCCATTTTCAAAGAACACTCATTCATGCATGCCTGAGTGCACACCAGCTCTCTGATTTGAAGCTGGTAAAAGCATCTGTTAGGCATGGCTCAGAAGCTTGTTTGATGTATGTTGCCCTTACATTTCCTAGCTATGAACAACAACAAAATACTGTTACAGACTTTAACCAGAATTTCCTCTATTCAAGTTCGCATCTAAATTATTCCATTTAAAAGGGAAACATGTAAAAACGTGATGACAAACTGGATGATTGATGTGCTGTTTAGATTCTAACATGACGACAAGGGAAGTCAAAATGGAAGCAAACGAGTATGTGGGAACAGAGCATACAGCAGAGAGAATATTTTGCAGAGGAAATACCTAATTATGGACAAGATTTCATTCTAAAATCATTTGTTATTTTTAAGTAATTTAAAATTTGTTGATAGGATCTGAAAGATACATACAGTACAAACAAAAAAGGTCTGGATAAGCATAGGAAGTCTGTGATATGGGGAGTCTCACTCACAGAAGCCTGGGAATAAAAATAAAATGTAAAAACCTAACATATCTTTGACACAATTAGCCGTTCACATCAGACATGCTTTTAAAATGCACTTTTCCTCAACTGTTTTACTTAAACTCCCATGTTCGGCTATATCTTTCATGAAAGGGTTTTACTGTATATAATCTGATTTGTTTTTTTAATGGTTTATACAAGACCAGTTAACAACAGAAGGGCAATATGAAATGTAATTCCTTGTTTTCAGTAACTGATTTAATATTATACTGTATATCAAATATCAAAACAAAGTACTCGAGTTAGGCACTGGAGAGCTATAAATCATTGCACTGCATGATAAAAAAAAACTACAGCTTTGCATATTTAGTCAGAAAGTATTTCTTTTCAATGGCCAGTTCTAAGTAGATATACATCTTTGCTATTTATTTTTTTAGCAGCCCTGTGAACTTGGCTACTGTTGTTCTGTGTTCTGTCAAGAGAACAAAGGCCATTCCAGGAAAAGACAAACACAAGGGCTAATTACAGCAAGCAGACCTGAATCTCTAAGGCATTGCATTCTGGCCACTTCTATTGAAGCAACACTATGGAATTCTATGTAAAACTCATTATAGCGTGAAGTCATTGCTAAAAATAATCTGTGTGTAACTCTACTGTGCTTTCAGTATGTTCAGAGTCCAGGCAAAAATTAATCCTACTCTGCTGCAGCTGCTTCAGCCTGAAACAGTGATAGCAAAATGCATGGAGTTACAGTAGCTTCCATACCGGAATGCAGACTGTACTACAGTAATGAAGAGGTCAAGAAAATGCCAAGGTGTGAAAGAGTTATAGTATGTAAGCAAAGCTTGCCAAACTTCTTTTTTGTTACCATTATCCTAGAAAAAATATTCAAGGAAAATGTTAGACTCAGAAAGCGTGAGAGTAAATTATGGTAATCACTTTCAACAATTAAATGAGATAATCCTTTAATTGGCCATGGGAATTTCAGCATTTAAGATGTAGTCATAGTGTCATCAAAAAGTTGGACTGATAATGACATTTATTTTTCCTCTCAAGTTAATCTGAGCATGCTGACACTTATTTCTTAATATCTGAATATCACAATTACCCTAAAATAGGGCTGCACAACCCCGGGTCCCTTTCACCCCAGTGTTAGCTGGTTTGTGTTCCAGAGGAGATATTGAACTTAATTGAACCCCAGGCTGAATAATATACTATTTTTAGTGATTTTTAAAAATAATTTACTAGCTATACATGTTTAATTGCTTTGAGCTCAGAAGCTGTAAGTGATTTTAAATTTACCTATAAATATGTGCAATTAACTTCAAAACTACAATATTCAAGAAAGAGAAGGTCTAATCAATCCCATTATTTCTTCAATTAAGCAACCATGGGTTGAGCTAGAATGAAAATGAGCAGACAGGAGGACCAGGATTGGAAAGTATTATATAGTGTTATATTTTTGTGCCAAGGATGACAATTTAAATCAATAAACTTGATCTAGTTAACAATTAACTTGACGAACCACCAACAGATATAAAAGGATGCTGCTCAATTTATGAGACAATCCACGTCTTATGCTGGTGACTTTGTTACAGTTGATCAAGGTTTGTATCATTAACTCTTTTTACTGTATTCTGAGTATTATTTATTCTTCCTGCCAAATGACTCACTTTCTCTGCACCAGTGTGGAGCAATATAACAGAGTAATAACATATTGTCTGTAACTTAAACAATGTGCAGATTTGAAATGGTAAATTAAAACGAATGTAAATACTGTAAGTGTATAGCAGAGAAGCCATCAATGTTTTCACAGAATACATGTTCTCTTGCCTTGAGGGGTTGTTTTTATTACTTAAACATGAAAGGTATCAATTTGCAGTATTTATATTTGGCAGGGCATCAATGTCAAAGCAGACTAACCATT